CAGATATATTACACATGCTTTCATCCACTAATTTTCTAAAGCTATCAGAAAAAGCAATCAAGCTTTGAAGATTACTAGCACCCAGCCAGCTTTTTGCTGGTTTATTCACTTACAAAACCAATCTTGGCATTATTAAAGATTTGCCACTCCTTCAGCTGATGACTGATTTAAAACAATGCATCTTTCTAATCCATTACCTTCCCAAAATAACACAGAGCCCTGATTATTCCTCCTAAGTGCTATTTTAGGGTTGTGTGGCATGTGAGTTTAAATTGTGATTGGCAGACAGATATTTTTCTTGAAAAGGATCTGTGATTTCAGCAACTTAGCTTATGTTTATTTTACATGCTTCCAGCTGTTAGCTTGTATCAGCAGTTATTCCTTATTCCCAGTATGAAAGCAAGGAGGTCCTGTGGCACCTCTTTAATTATATCAGGGAAGGAACATCAGACTGGCAGTAGAGGCAAAAAATACAGTATAGCAGGATTAGTCCTCACAAAAGCAGATTTATTTCTTACAGCAGAGGAACATGCCAGTCAAAATAAACTTTCTCTCCTTATTTAATATATCCCTTTCCTCTATGTTTTATTGCCTACTCATGCTATAAATTGTTATACTTAAGAATTCTAGTCAGAATTTGGGTTTTTTTCCTCTTTTGGCTTGTTCATTCCTTATTCTTCTGTCTCCCTAAAGCTGGAACCATTTATTTAACACCTGTTCCCTTGCTAACAGCCTCTTGTGGTTGTGAAGGGCTGTGTTTGTTTTCCAGATGTGGTTTCCAGGGGCACAGAGAAACGTGGTGCCTGCAAGTTTCTGCAGACTCTTCAGTAAAACTGGGAAGGTTTCAGGTATTTTTCCCTCCTCATATCCTGGTTACCAAACTTTGCTTTTTTACAGCTGCCCCTACTGAAACACTTTATATTTTTTTTGCCAGTGTCATTCAAATACAGTTCTTGGTTATTCCCTTACCTGGGGCTCAGTTCTGACTCTTTGTTGATGGTGTTTTTACTGAAATGAGTCCAAAAAGTTTACTGCTACATTTCTCTAAATTTTTCATGCTGTTAAGTCAGCTTGTTCAGGGTAAAATTTTCAAACTGGAATGTCACCCTCAGAAAAATGCTGAGTGTTTTGCTGACTTCTGTGAGTTTAGATCACTGGGATCCTGCAATGAGTGTTGAATTGTTTATTGAATGTGGTTTTTCTTTATTTCTTCGCTTAATTTTATTTATCAAAATTAATGGTCTCGTGATTCAAGTGTTTCAGCTCCTAGTGGAATGACTACATCAGAATAATTTGCATGTATGCATGTGTGTATGAAGGCAGAAAGCACATTGATTTTCTTCCCAAGGATAAGAGAAACAAAGGTCATAGCTCCTCACACTCTAATTTATGCAAGATTAATGCATAGAATACAGCAGAGTTCACTTAATGAGGGTGAAACATGCAGATGAGTGAAGTATCATTTTCAGTTTTGATTTCCCAGTTGAAAGAATATAAAATAATACAATAATGTAAAATATCTTTTAAAAGAATTTCTGATTAAGAGGTAAGCAGCAGTGTATAATCCTGTTTTCAGCTGGAAACAAGGAGCTCAGGCCTCATTTTCCTCTCCTCTGCCTTTGGAATATCCTGCATTTTCTGCTTCCACACTTGTGGAAAACTGGGCACACATTCTGGGCTCTTGCCCAGGTGAGGCTGCTCTTGTGGGACGATGCTGTCTCACAGAAATATTTCTGTGCTAATGCTTTCGTGGCTCTGGAGGCAGACTGCTGGAGAAAATCCAGAGGTTTGTGTTAATCAGTGTCTGCAATCCTTAAAAACAAAGAAATTGCTGATGAGCTCAAAATGATAAGAAATGTCTGGTGTCTACAGCAAAGTGCCTGGAGTTAAGAGTCTTTTCTCCACAAAATGACCTTCTGGAGCCTGAATTGTGCCTTTACACCCAGACTCAGCAGAGTTTCTCCAGTTCCAGATTATGTTGTCAGCTGCCTTGCAACACTCCCTTTTAGTCTCTCTGTTGCAGAGCTTTTCCTGAGCACGGCGTTAGTGACAGGGACACGGAGCAGACAAGTCAAAGCACAGAGAGAAAAAAGAACATTGGTGTTACTGCAGCAGAAAAAAGTCACTGCCAGTGTCTGTTTAGAACATTGCCATTTGTATAGTCTATTGCTGAAAATGAAGCTCTGCTCCTTAGAAGGGATTTATTGTCTCTAGATGGACAGGTGTGGATTTACTGTGGGCTTGAGAGGCTAAAATGAGTCGTGCTGCTGTGCAATCCCATGTCTGGCTCTGTGTCTCCTCTTCCTTGGGGACCTGCCCCATGCCCAGCTCCCTGTTCTGCCACCTCCTTCTGAGCCACTCACGTTACTAATGGGCACCAAGCACACCAAAGTTCAGCCATAATTCCTCTCCTTAAAACTGGGATGGAGCCTTTGGAAGCAGCTTCATTTTCAGCAATGTGCTGCAGCTTGCACTCGAAGCAGAAATAAAAACGCCCATTTCACTCTATAACTGACTTTAATTCCAAATTTGGCACGCTCACTCCTGAGAGGTTAACTGAATTTTCAGTTCGCCAAACAGAAGTCCTTAAACTGTTTACTGGAGTTTTGCTCAGATTTTCTCGTGTTTCGTGGGTTTTCTGAAATAGTTCAGCCCCATGTCCATTTTTGAACAGCTGCCAGGCATCTGAGAGGTAGAAAACTTCTGAACATTCAGCAGGAGCTCTGCATTCACCAGGACGTAGTGAGTTTCAAAGATTGTTCATGGACACCCATTGAATGTTGTTTCTGGAAGTTTCTAGACAATATTTTGTTGAAAAAAACCAATCCACCCTGACAAAAAAATTAGTCAACTCTGCCTCTGTTTTTAAATCAAGACATTGAGTTCTTTTTCTGTGCTCTCTCCTCACCTATGATCAGTGCAAACCACAGGGTCAAGGTAGGGCCCTGTGTGATAAGTCTGAAGTGAGAAAATGAAGTTCCATTTGTTCCAGGTTCATGCTCTCCCTCCAAAGCTCTGCAAGGTGCTCCTGAGTCCTTTTTCTGAGGTTCTTGGAGTAACACTGTTAGACTGGGAGGAAGAAATGTTATTCACAGCTTTGTTAACATCTGTAATGCCTATTACTTAATTAAAATCCAGCCTGATAGAAGCCTAGATTGCATCTGCCTGACAGGAGATGGTCCACAGTTCTCTTATCGTGGAAACTGTTGTGTTTGACGAGTTTTCCCTCTATTTCAGAAATCAAATGTTGAATTAATGAGCTTCTTCCTTCCCTCTGATTTCCAAAAGCAAAGAAAAGAACAATATTTTTGTTGGCAAGAATTTCCTACAGTACTAAAATATATTTGTGCTGTGTTGGCTTTTCTGTATTTTTTGTGCTTCTCTTTTGTTTCTAACAGAACTGGTTGCTTCCCCAAAATCTTACGATAACTTTTAGACTGCAATCAATTTCCAGTGTCTTTATGAAAGCAAAGCTCTGTCATTATGTTCCCAAAGGGATGTGCCAGTAAACCTGAAGCCTGGGGAATAAAATTGGAAGATAACTATTTCTTGTCATGTATTTCTGTTTTATGGTGTTGAGTACACTGGAATGGCTTAGTGGGGAGAAAGAACAGCAGGGAAGGGAAGTAGCTATTAATGTCCTATCAGAGCTTGATAGGGCTTGATATAATTAAAAAAGACCAACTTGTGATATCTCCAGCAATTGTAATTTCAATTATTTGCTAGCTGAAGGCAACTTTCACTGCTCCAAGTTAGGAAATCATGTAAATAGACTAATTAATATAATTTGCCTTGTGCTCCACTAAGAGAACAAAACCAAATATTTCATTTTCTAAGAGGGGGGAAAAAAAACAACCGTGTAAATGAAATATTATAAATATTCAGTCCATCTGTAAAGCAAACATTGCATATTTCCAGGCATCCTCAGCATTTCCGAGGAATTCAGCAGGATTTCATGGAAAGGTGATGCCTTGCTTTGGCTTTCCAACTGCTCCCCAGTGAAAGGGAAATGTTCCTTTTGAGGATTAGAGGCAGCTCTCCCAGAACACTGAGGAACAACGTGTGCAGCAGGGGGCCAGCAGATACAAAGGAGGTTTCATCATCTTCTATCTGCAGCCCTTTAATATCAAGAGACTTCCACAAAACTTAAAATGAGTCTTTGAAATATTCCGTGCTGTGGAGGTAGAAAGGTACAATAAATAATATTTCTCTTTTTTCCTTGTGTGGAATGGAGAGATAAAGCTATTTATAAAACTGCAAAGACTTACAAATCATTCTAACAGGTTGTCATATGTTAATGTCAGTGAGAATTTAATCACCCAAAGTAAAAAATCTATATATTTTTTTTCTCCAATCCTATCTTATTTTCATAACTCTCTCTATTGACAGATTCTCTTGTGATGATAGATTAAAGGAATGCCCAAGACCACAAAAATGTAAAACCAGAAAAAATACAGGGACTGACCCAGTAGGTTGTTTTTAAACTGTGTGGCAGTTTTATTTTTTTGTTCTTGTAGCATTTACAGGATCTAATGAGGAGTCATTGTGCTCAGCACTGTGCACCTGCTGAACAAGAAAATAAAGAGGGAATAAATAGATGGACTATGAAAATCCAGATTTCTATAACAAGCAGCAAGGCTTTCTGTACCAACTCTTTGTGGAGTTGTTGGTTCAGGAATAAACAACCTTGCTTAGGAGCAGAACAATTTTATTCATCAATTTATTAATAAAGATTTTTATGACAGCTGCTTACCCAAAAAGCTGTTCAGTGACGGGTTTAATTTGCCATCTGGGATTGGAGTGCCCTGAATTCTTTGGCTCTTAGCCACTTTCACTCCTGTTAAAAGGAGACACATCCTTGGGCTTTCCAGGTGATCCCATGGTGAGTTAGACTTTATCCTCTGAACCAAAAAGGAGGTTTAGAGAAAAATAAAGACATGCATGCTGTTAGAGCTGTGATTTTATAGCTTTGTGTCTATCTCTCAGTAAATCCAGCATTGGTGAGGTTTTGTCCAGAGGAGGTTGGACATCCAGCATTCCTTGGTGGCCTTGATCCTTTATCCTGAGCTCAAACTGAAGTGGGGAAGGCTCATGCCAAGCTTGCTGTGCTTTCTGTTGTGGTGAGTATTAGAAAAAATGAATCTTAAAAATCACCTTATTCTCCAAAGCAATGTAAAGCTGCTGATGGCTTTGGCTCTTTTCTTCACAGCATATGAGACATACACAAAACTGAAATGTGCAATTTGACCCCCTGTCTTCCCACTCCTAGAGTTGGCCTGCTGCAATTGAAAATGGAGAGAACAAAAACTCCAACACATCAACAGCACAGTGGGTCTGAGCCCTTCTCCTTGTGCTGGGGACATTCATCTCTCCCTGGGTTTTTAGGACATGGCTCTCATTTCCCTCTCCCTACGTTTCACCATGTAGGGTTTATTGCCAAGCCTTTTTAAATGAGGACTCCTGCCCATTAGAAATACAGATTTATATTGCTGGGCTCCCTGATGAAAGGTTGGCTGTCTAATGGCGTGGGTTTGGTGCTGTGGTACAGTGCAGAGTGTTAAGGCTGTAATAGGAAATCAAATAGTTCATTTCACAGCCATCAAGTGCATGCTGAGCTGCCTGACTGCTTTATGCTGCTTTATCTTTGAGGACATAAAACCTATTCTTACTTTATGAAAACATACTTTGTGTTGGATAATCATTTCATTTACATATAAAGGTTACACTTAATAAAAATATATGAACCAAAATTGCAACAAAGATACAACATCATAAACCACCTTTTTTAAAGTGTGCTGGTTTTTCCCCTTGAAAGGCTTCATTGCCTTTAAGACAGGAGATATTGCTTCAGAACTAAAGATTTAAAGCTTTTTTCTTCTGCCTGTAGTAAAAGTAATAAAGCTTTTTATTGTACAAAGACTGTAAATATATTTAGCAATAATTTCAACAGCTGGAAGTGTCTAGATGTCTGTAGTGGAAATACAAGGATCATATTTACCTAGACTTGGCCTTGAAATTTCTATAACCCTTTTCTTTCCACCTAAGCAGCACTGAACAGTTATTGGCTGTTATCTTGTAAACACTGCAAGACAATCTCGTGGAGAAAATGACTCCGTGCAGCCTGAAATAAGATACTGCTGGAGCAAGAACGCTGTGAGTATTTTCTGTTCTCATTGTTTGTGACAACTGTTTCCTGCAAAGAGGAACCAGCCCTGCAGTCTGGAGCTGGCACCCACCCCCAGAGCTCCTGCAGAGCTCCAAGAGCACAGTCAGGGCTGTTGTTTAGGGAGTCCATGGCAAAAAAATAATAGAGAACGTGAGAATTATGGTCTTTGTCATTGCTTTTGGGGTCCTAGGTGCATGAGATGTTTGGGTTTGGTAGAGGAGCAGATTTAGGGGGCAGGTAAAGTTCATTGCCTTTGGAATTGCCAAAAGTTGAGAAGCAAACTTGCACCAATTTTCATTCCTGCCAAGATCTCGTTGCCTTTCTCAGTGAATATCTCAGCATTGCCAGTGTTCCCTCCCTCAGTCACTGTTAATACATTGCCATTCTTTCTGTTTTCCATTGCACTTCTGTTGAGCCAGGAACACAAACACACTTCCAGCTCCTCAACCTTATTATCCTCTGAGGAACGTGTGCAGAGAGACAAAGGTGCTCTGCAAGCAGTGCAGCAGCATCTCTTCCAACTCCATTTATAAAATAATTATAATTGGTGTAGCTCTGTGTGAAGGGAAGTATAACCAATTATTGCACAGCTGTAATCACAAAACAGAAACAAAATGCAGGCACAGACGCTCATTCCTCGTGGGGGGAACAGTGATCACTAAGTTTGATGAGTGTGGTTACAATGTCTGTTGAAATTTCCTTGTGAGATGTATCTGAAGGGTAAATACTTGCAGATTTTCCAGGAAAAGAAGGAAAAATATTCCAAAATATTAGTTAGCTCCACTGAAATTGTTCTTTTGGGGGTTTTTCAGAGGTGCACCTAGGCCTTTCAGCCATTCAGATTTTTCTGGACGTGGTCTCCTACCCTAGCATGTCAAATGTGGATGTGACCTACTGTAAAATGTTAATTTATTCTCCTGTTGAATGGATTTGATGACCTTTTGGTAGAGGTTTCTCTTCTTCTCAGCTGACCTCTGCCCTGCCTTTTGCCCTTTGAAATTGAAGAGATCACACTGAAACAGAGAAACTTTGATTAACAGAACAAACATTTCACTCAGGAAATTTTAAATTTTGACTTGTAATACTTCACAGCTCAAAACAGCATGAAAAAATCATATCTTTATGTCTCAAAAGGTTTGGAGAAAATACTGAAACATCCAGTTTTTGACAGCATCTTGCCAGCTACTTGAATTTGAAACATGAGAAAAGTCTCTGGAGCATACAGGAAGAGTGATGATAGTCAGATGGAAATGGATTGTGTATTGTTAAAAACCAAGACCTATCCAAACATGCAAGAGTAATGGAAAGTATCAAATCAAGACAAATGTTATTGTGCTGATAATAAGTTAGGTTAAGACAGTAAAGTTTTCTAATAAGGCTGGAGGAGGAGGCTTCTTTCTGATGGATGAGAAGACCACCAAAGTGAAGAAAAAAATCTGTAAAATAATACATCTTCCATTTTTTAACAACAGCTGTTAAAAATTATTATTGAAACAGATCTGAGCAACTCTTAAGTATCATATCTTGATATTAGTGCTAAATTTTTTGCAATAGGCAGCAAACCCTGTGTACCACGAATTTCTACATTAGAATATTTAATGGTAGACTTCAGTGGAAAGTAAAGAGCATTTTTAAAAGCAGACATCAGTAGTGACTGGAAATGTCAATTAACACAGTGCAAACAGGCACGAGCTTGTGTATTTCTGTGCAATTAAATCAAGCCGTCTCAGCAGTGGGTGCAGTTACTTTCTTTACCACTGAAAGGGAACTGCTCCATGGCTACCAGACCTGCAGGTGATCTATTATACAAGCCACCAGATATAGATTATTACATTATCAAATTCAATCTTAAATCTCTGATAGGATTTACTGACTTTGATTGGAGGAAACATAGACTTGACAAGACCATTTTTCTGGGGTCCTTTGGGGGTGGCAACTGAATTTTGGGTTTGTAAAACATAATCACATGTTCAGCTGATAGAAATTGCCACTGATATTAATATAATTCTGTCTGGTTTATCAAGATGTTATGCTTTAGGTCTAAAATGCATCAGTAAGTCTAATGTCCACCTGGCTTGTCTTAAAATAATATTATTATATTAGTAATAATACTCCATATAACTTTATATTATATTAATAACACTCCAATATATAAATAATTTATAAATATATTTATAAATTATTAATATGTATTTATAGAGATTTATATAAAATAAATTATTAATTTATTCATACTATTATTGCATAACAATATTATACAATAACAGATTTAAATCTACATTTTGGGTAATAAGATGTGTAAAGATACCATCCCCTACAAAAATAGGGCTCTATTGATGAAATAGTGATGAGAGATGACAAAATATGGAGGAACTGAAAGAATCTGCACAGGAAGATTTGTTTTATAAGCAGAGACAGGAGGTTGCACCAGTACAGAAGCCACGAGGGCTTGGGTTCCACCTCTGGCAGGGAATAAACTGCTAAAAGTGTGACACTGACCAAGCACAGCCACCTCAGCACACAGGACCAGTGCACTGGGAAGGGAGTGAATTTAAATATAAATTTAAATATAAATTAAAAAAAAAGGTCCTGCAGTCCCCTGTGGAGGAGTTCAGTATATTATAAATAAATATATTATAAATGAAAGTGGCTACTTGGATGCAGACTGTTAAAACTGCATTACTTTGTACTTCCTTCAATGCTTTTAATCCTTCCCTCATAAAACCAAATTCAAGTTAGAAAGTGTAGCTGTTGAAGAGAAATTGGCACTGAATAATGGTGATTTTGATTCTGAAATGCCCTGAATCCTCTTTGTTTCCACCTCCAGGATGACATGGATGAACATTTCTGGTCGTGTTTCCTGCAGACCAGCTCTCACCTGCACCTTCATGCCACAGACAAATCCTCCAGCTCTCGGAACAGGGACAATTGGAATGGAAGAAATGTTTATGGTTTGACTTGGAGACTTCCATTGTGGTTTATTTGATGGTTAGAAGCATCAGCATCTCAGAAGTTAATGATCTGCCTGAAATAATGGGGATTTTAGAAGATGGAATGTTACTAAATTAATAAATATAATAAATATTAACTATTTCACTGCAAGTGTATGGTCTATCTGAAAATAAAGCTGAGAATAATGCTGGATTTTCACTTCAGAAGTAATGGTTCCATATACCACTAAGACATTTTTTATTTATAATGTTGATATTCAGAACAGAGCTGTGCATTATATTCATCATGCCCATCTGGGCTGTGCCTGTATGTGAATTAAAAGACAATTCCCATTAATGTGGAGATGCTCTCTGCTTCAGGCTTGGGTTCATTCAGCAGGTTTAGGACAGCCTGGTAAGTGTGGGGAAATGTCTCAGTGTTTGCTCTTGTGTTTATGGGGAAGCACTGAAAGTTCACCACCTCCCCAGGTAATTAGCTTCCAATACAGGAAACATTTTGGGATGATGTAGGATCTACTGCACAAAATGGAAAGTTTGATGAGAGATGAAATGAATTATAGACAAGCGAAGGAAATGGGGAAAGTTTTAAGAGAAATTGTTTTATATAGAATAGTTATTATAACACTTAGTCATTAAAACAGCAGTAATAAAATTATATTTATAGCTGAATAAGGAGTCTCGGTGTGATTAAGATATGGAAGTAGCTAATTGGACTGCTGAAATATTAGGATATTGAAGTGATGAAAAGTATACAAATGAAAATAAAAGTGCATAAAAATTAATGAGGAGGCTGAAATAGGAAATGGAATAAAGGAAAATAACAAATGGAGCAATGTAGAATGAATAAACACCCAGCTGGTAGACAAGGAGATATTGAGGGCATTGCAGAAGTGAATGGATATCATGGCCCCAGAGCTGCTCTTTGTGCAGCAGCTGTGCCCAGGTCAGGGTTTGGGGTTTCTGGGGGTGCAGGAGGATGATTTCTGTGGGTGAAGGAAGATTTCTGTGGGTGAAGGAAGATTTCTATAGGTGAAGGATGATTTCTGTCAGTGAAGGATGATGTCTGTGGGTGAAGGATGATTTCTGCCCACCAAGATCTCCCTGGTGTAGGATTTGGGGTTTCTGGGGATGCAGGAGGATATTTCTATGGGTGAAATGAGGAGGCTGAAATAGGAAATGGAATAAAGGAAAATAACAAATGGAGCAATGTAGAATGAATAAACACCCAGCTGGTAGACAAGGAGATATTGAGGGCATTGCAGAAGTGAATGGATATCATGGCCCCAGAGCTGCTCTTTGTGCAAAAGCTGTGCCCAGGTCAGGGTTTGGGGTTTCTGGGGGTGCAGGAGGATATTTCTGTGGGTGAAGGATGATTTCTGTGGGGGAAGGATGATTTCTATGGGTGAGGGATGATTTCTAAGGGAGAAGGATGGTTTCTATAGGTGAATTGTCTCCCCTGCCCTGTCCCCAGTCCCTCCCCAGCTCTCCTGGAGCTCCTCTGGGCTCAGGAAGGGGCTCTGAGCTCTCCCTGGGGTTTTCTCTTCCCCAGCAGGAACAACCTCCCCTCCCAGCCTGTTTTCACAGCAGAGGTGCTCCAGCCCTCTGAGCATCTGTTTTCTCTCTCTCAAGTAGGAAAAGGTAAAAAAAAACTGTTCTCAAGCTGTTCTCTCTATATTTAAAGGTTTATTAATCAGATTATTCTACGTTCTTTGACTTGTATTTCAATCCTTTCAAGATTCTTATAATAATTTTTTAAAATGTATTTTCCAAGCTTGGAAGATTTGGAAAAAATACTAACAATTTCGAAAACATATAAAACATTTATGATGAAAACGATGAGATTTGCTGCACAAATTCTATCTGCAGCTTTGCAGTGATAAATTCAATAGAATTGTTACTGCAATTATATATCAGGACACATGAAGTTTATGCTTGCACATAAATATGAGATGAACTGTCCTGCCAAGCACTTTAAGTAGCAGCTGATGTTTCATTATATCCCTGATTTATACCAACAAGGTAAGATATTTACAGTTAACTAACTCTGTAAATAATTTTGTCCTCCGAGATACCTCGATGTGAAATATGATCAGGAATGAACAGCAAAACAAAGGGTTTGGATGAAACATATTCTTTTATTATGAGCAAACAACTTTACCTGTATTTATCCATTCAAACTGAATTCTGTTTCACACAGAATTATCTGATTCTCCTCACCATATGTAGCTAGAAAAGCTAAACTCCAAAGCCACATTCTTACTGCATGTTCTGTTAAACAGACATGGTTTCAGCAATCCCCATTCCTTGCAGGAATTGATTGATTTCAATCAATCAAGAATCAAATCCGTGATTTAGATGGCCACTGGGTCTTTAGTTTTGGATTATTTTTCCCCCTGAGAACTGTAGTTTTTATCCTGACCAGTGTGATGCTGTCCAGAAGGAAAAGGCATCCTACCCGTGGAAAGCCAGGTTACTGCTCTCAAATTTGGAATTTAGAGAGAACAGAGAGAATAGTTACGTGTTAAAGCAGAGGCAACAGCTCCAGACCTGTTGAGAAATAAATAATATAACTCTGCAAAGCCCAGCCTGGATTCTGGCACCCCCCTGGCTGTGCTCTGCTCTGTTTCAGCTACTCCCAGTGTGGGTGGGTGTGAGTGGCTCTGAAAATCGAGGATTCACTGGTGACACAAATAAAGTCAGCAACAAACAGGATTCTGAGGGGGAGTGCAGTGAGCACCTGAAGCAGGTGTGTGTGGAATTCCCTCCTCTGTGGCTGTGCAGAGCTGCACTGGAAGGGGCACAGGCTGCCACGAGTGCAGCTCCCTGTGAAACCAGCTGGACAGATCTGTGTTGTCTCAGGAAGGTTTTCTTCCAGTTTGCTACCAGAGAAACTATCAGAGCAGTCCTTTGGATTAGCCTTGCTATTATTAGGATGATGTTTTTTCCTCTAATATCCAGCTTTGAGCTTCCTTATGCCATTTAAACCTATTGCTTATTCACTGTGGCCACGAGGAACAGATAATTCCATTCCTCTTTGCAACAGCCTTTTATTTTCCTGATGACTGCTATAATGTTGTCTCATTTTTCTGTCTTTAGGCAAACTACTGCAATTCAATTATTCTTTTGGCACAGGTGGTATTGATTATTCCTAAGTATTCTTGTCCCTAGCACTTTTGCCATTTAAGCTATCCTCTGTTTTAAGAGCTAATCTCTACCTCAATAAATCTGTCATGTGGAAGCTTAAGAAAACACAAGTTTTTGGTTTTTTTTTCATACAACGTGTAAATAAATGATGGAAGACTTTACACTGGGCACTGCAGAAGCCAAATTCTAAATGGGTTCAAAAAAGGATTCTACACAGCACTTATGGAAGAATGGTCCAGAGGGAGCAGCTGAAAATAATTTTCTAAATGCAACCTCTAGCACAGGAGTTCTGAAATTATGGATTGTACCTGGGAGGGATGAACAAGGAGAGGGTTGCTCTTTACTTGCCCTGTTTCTCATATCCTTTCTCTAAGCATCTGTTACAGGATGCTTCAGTTATGACCTTCTTTTGTGGGATTGCTTCATCCCTAATAAGCTTAGGATACACTGGTTTGCATATGCATTTTGTAAATTTGTTGGCTTATTATTTCTGATAAAACTCCTAAAAGGATTATGGGCCTCTTATCTCCTACCAGATTAATTGTGAGCTGAAACAGCAAAGGTTAAGAGGCTTGCCATTTCCTTTCTTCTCCTCTTGCAGATGGCTGCCTGAGTCTCTCTAAAAACATTTATCCTTCATCTTGTTCATTAGTTGTTGACCTATACCTTGTAATACAATCCTCACTTCTTTTTAAGATAAAGGAAAAAAATTATGTAATTATGGAGATAGTCTCATTCTTTGAAACATCTAATTATTTTTTTGAACTGTCCTTATTTCTTGGTTTAACTTAAGTTTTAAGACAGGGAATTCCAATTCTGAATTATTAAAAAAAAATCATACCACTTGTTTTTAAGTAGCATCATTTTGGTTTTACTTCCCTCTTCTCCTTCCCTTATTTTTATTATTAAGAAATTGGTCTTTGGAGGAGAGTAAATTGATTCTGTACAACCTGGCTATTATTAGTGGGTGGAGGAAGAGACAATTAATTAATGTCAGGGCTAATATCAATCCCTTTGCCAGCTTCTTCTGAATAATTTTGGAATTTCTCAGTAATGTTTATGTCCACCTGGCCTTCAACGCTGTGACACGACCACAGAACATTGTTTTTCTTTTATCTGCTCTGGCAAGCACTGTGTATTTTGGTCTCTAATCCTGTCCTCCCAGGGTGGGTTTTGCTGCAGTCCCTTTCCTGCTGGGCTGCAGACACAAAAGCAAACCTTCAGCAGGGATGTGCCAGTGACGTGGTGGGGTGGCACAGGGGCTGCGTGTGAGCTGTGGGGCACTCTGAGGTGAGATGGAGACTGGGATGGGGAACAAAGGATCCCTCTGAGGGTTTGAAAGGCCTGGCAGGTGTTGGTAGTCCTGACCTGCCCCAGATGGAGCATTGGCCTCCCTGCCCAACCCAGCCCAGCCCAGCCACTCTGAGGTGAGATGGAGACTGGGATGGGGAACAAAGGATCCCTCTGAGGGTGTGAAAGGCCTGGCAGGTGTTGATAGTCCTGACCTGCCCCAGATGGGGCATTGGCCTCCCTGCCCAGCCCAGCCCCATCCTGCCCCATCCTGCCCCATCCTATCCTATCCTATCCTATCCTATCCTATCCCAGCCCAATCCAATCCAATCCAGCCCTGCAACCCAGCCCAATCCAATCCAATCCAATCCATCCAATCCAATCCAACCCATCCAATCCAATCCAACCCATCCAATTCAATCCAGCCCAACCCAACCCAATTCAACCCAGCCCGATCCAATCCCACCCAGCCCAATCCAATCCTATCCCAGCCCAATCCAATCCTATCCCAGCCCAGCCCAGCCCAGCCCTGGCACTCTGGGATCAGGTTTAAACCCATTTCCAGTTCCTGCCCTGCTCTTCTGGGTCTGCCAGAGTCTCTGAGCTGCTGCTGGAGGTG